GAGGACGAGGAATAGAATGGGAGCGAGTACTGTGCCTTGTGGAACAGAGCTTTTTACCATGGCTGCCTGGGACTTTACTCTGCTTACTATTACTCTTTGTGTTCTATTTGTCAAGAAGTTGTAGATCCAGCTACCAACTTTTCCCGTTATTCCTTTATCACGCATTTTGTGTGCTATTACACCATGGTCACACTAGTCGAAAGCTTTTGCAAAGTCTGTGTCTACTACATCTGTATTTTGTTGTGGTCCAGTAGCTGGAACAGGCAGGAGCGACCTGCTCTAAACCCGTGTTTGCCCTGGTTGTGTAACTGATGGGTATCTAGGTGGTTGGCTATCTTGCTTCTTAGAACCCTCTCAAAGATTTTTATGATATGGGATGTTAGTGCTATCGGTCTGTAGTTCTTTGCAATTGCTTTACTGCCACCTTTGTGGAGTGAGGCTATGTCTTGTTTTTAGTGTGTGTGGAATGATCCCTGTGTCCATGCTCCCTTTCCATAAAATACTGAAAGCACGCGATAGGGGCTTCTTGCAATTCTTGATGAACACGGAGTTCCACGAGTCTGAGCCTGGGGCAGAGTGCATGGGTATGTCATTACTTCCTCTTCAGTCTTGTGGAGTTAGAATAATATCCGAGAGTTTTGGGATGACTAAATTTTGGGTTTCGTTCATAAAGAATTCATTTGGATTGTCGACCCTTAGTCTGGGCAGCGGCTCGCTGAACAATGAATCATATTGGGACTCTAGTATCTCACTAATTTCTTGGCTGTCATCTGTGTATGTCCCATCCCGCCTAAGCAGGGGAACAATACTGGATGTTGTTTTTACCTTAGATTTAGCATAAGAGAAGAAGTATTTTGTTGTTGTTTTTTTCAATTTCCTTTATGGCTTTTAGTTCTTCCTGTGATTCTTGTCTCCTATAAGATTCCTTCAGCTTAAGTTTGAGATTTGCAATTTCATTGACTAGTGCCTCCCTTCATATTTCAGATATATTGGCCCCACTCAGCAGCTCTGTGACTCTTCGCCTTTGTCTGTATAGAGAACGTCTCTCTCTTTCTAGTTTACATCTTCTCTTTCTTTTTCTTAATCTGTCTTGAACAGATCTCAAGAACCACAGAATTCATTTTTTCAAGGCAAATGTTCGGATCCATGTTGTTTAGAATATCTTCCCAGCTTGTTTTATTCAGGTCATGGTTTACTTGATCCCATTGTATGTGTTTGTTATGAAATTGAATTTCGTGAAAAGACCTTCATGACTGCTCACATTTTGCTGGTCCGGAGCCTTGTGCATACATGTCTGCACGTCTATTATGTTGTGATCTGAGTGTATTGTCTTCGATACAGTTATATTACGTATCAGATCGTCATTGTTAGTATTTTCTAGTCTTGTAGGCTCTACTATTTGTTAAAGCAACTGCTCAAGAAGAAATTTATCGCTTAGATGGCACTGGACAAGCACCTAAAGTCGGTACCTGACAAGCCGGGCAGTGACTCGTACGTTGGATTGCGTGCAGCCAGCAGTAACAGCCTGGTTGATCAGGCTCTGATCCACCAGGAGGCCTGGTCACAGACCGGGCCGCGGGGGCGTTGACCCCCGGAATTCTCTCCAGGTAAACTCCAGGTAATAAGTTATCACAAGTTATATACACTGATGGATATAAACAGGAGTCTTCTGGCAGGGCTGCATCTGCTCTTGTTGCCACCTCCATAGTTAAGAACCATAATAAATTTGTTGAACTAGGCATAAGAATTAACAACTGGACATCAACACTGCAAACTGAATTGTTTGCAATTTTAATGGCGCTAAACCTAACTTATGACACTGACCTTGACTCTATCATCATTACTGATTCTGTCATCACTGAAGGCTCTTAATTCATATAATGTCCAACAACATGCTCATTGGAGAAGCCGGGTATAGATACTCAAAAATCCGGGTCAAAGGAATTAATGTACAATTGCTATGGATCCCATCACACACTGGATTACTCCTTCATGATAAAGTTGATATGTTAGCCATGAAGAGTACCCAGGAAGAGAATGTAGAATATAACTTTGGTATAACTGTGTCTAGCATTAGGAATAATATTAGGAGAGAGGTAAATAATGAAAATGATTGTTATAGGAATGCAGTTAGAAGCCTGAGTAGATCTATAACCCACTATGATAACATGAATGTAGATAAGTATGTTTATGGAGCAACTTGCAATGTGAACAGACTGACTGATGTTGTAGTGGCCAGACTTAGGCTTGGTTACAAGTACTTCTGGCAGCTTGGCAGACACACACATGATGATCAAACTAAATGTAAATTATGTGATCAGGCATATGGTCACTGTCTTGAACACTATGTGCTTAATTGTCCACTTATTGAGGAATACAGAGATAGTATAATAATCTATGTGACATGTCAAGATATCTTATTAATGAAAATAAGATACCAGATATACTAAGCAAATTTCCTAAATTTGCTTGTAACAGATAAGTGAACTGTAGATATAAATCCATATGTACACCTGTTAACCCTGTTGGGGCCTGGTTCCTAGGCCTGTAGTGTATCCATATGCTCTTGAGCTACCGTCCACAGGATGGATGTGGGATGCACAATAAACTAACCACTTCGGTGGCAAAATCTCATCTAAATCTGACCTAATTTGCCCGAAATGCTCAGCATTAAAAGAGCTTTTTATTTATAGTAGTATGTCATTGATGTCAACTAGGCCTGTATACCTTGTACTTGTACCTGTAGTAAATAAAGATATTAGATTAGATTTTGCCACCGAAGTGGCTAGTTTATTGTGCACTCCATATCCATCCTATAATAATAACGAACGCCGCCAACTCAGTGCACTGTTTACCTCGCTGTGGGAGCAGTTCTCTTATGCTTTACCTGGAGAGAGTTCCGGGGGTCAACGCCCCCGCGGCCCGGTCTGTGACCAGGCCTCCTGGTGGATCAGAGCCTGATCAACCAGGCTGTTACTGTTGCCTGCACGCAATCCAACGTACGAGCCTCAGCCCAGCTGGTCAGGTACCGACTTGAGGTGCTTGTCCAGTGCCAGCTTGAAGACAGCCAGGGGTCTATTGGTAATCCCCCTTATGTATGCTGGGAGGCAGTTGAACAGTCTTGGTCCCCTGACACTTACTGTATTGTCTCTTAACGTGCTAGTGACATCCCTGCTTTTCATTGGGGGATGTTGCATCGTCTGCCGAGTCTTTTGCTTTCTTTGTGAGTGATTTTCGTGTGTAAGTTTGGTACTAGTCCCTCTAGGATTTTCCAGGTGTATATAATCTTGTATCGCTCCCGCCTGCGTTCCAGGGAATACAGGTTCAGGAACTTCAAGCGCTCCCAGTAACTGAGGTGTTTTATCTTCATTATGTGCGCTTTGCTTGCATTTTTGAGTCATTTGGCCAAATTTCGTTTTTCTAAGCATGGGTCTTAAGAAAGTAAGTATAAAGAACAGTGCTGAGAAGAAAAAGAGGATGATTTCCATGGAATTAAGGCATGAAATCATAGATAAATAAGCGAAGTGTCTAGGTTTTGGGTTGAGGGGGGAGCTGGCTCGTAACTCAGATGTTGGCTCGTAACTCACAGCAAAAACTCGACCGAGCGACGGCTCGTATCTCAAAATACTTGTGTATATATATATATGTCGTGCCGAATATGTAAAACTGGTCAATTAGGAAGAACTCATTTAAAAATTAAGTCCTTTCTAAAATTTTCTTTTATACATTTAAAGATATATTTTTTTCATTAATGTTAATGTAAAAATTTTTAATTTTGCACCAAAAGAATCTTAGAAAACTTACCTAACCTTATTATAACAAGAACAATTTATTTTAGCCTAACCCAACTAAATATATTTTAGATTTGTTTACAATAATTTAATACTAAATAAACACAGTGAAATATAATTTTTTCGTTAGGTTCAGAATGATTTTTGGCGAGATTATTGCATACACAAATTTTCTCTTGTCCTATATGGCAAGATGAACGTTGCTATTTAAGCCAAGATCGCAAGTTCTGCCTATTCGGCACGACATATATATATATATATATATTATATATATATATATATATATATATATATATATATATTTATATATATTTATATATATATATATATATATATATATATATATATATATAAATATATATATATATATATATTCAAACAGAATCTCAGGTTTATCCTAGTAACCTGTGAAAGTTCATTAAGAAATATTTTTATCAATATATTCATTATTATAATCACTGGTAATCGGTCATTACATAAAGGAATTTATCACGTTTTATCCGAGAAGCAAAAAACCTTCTTCTTCTTCTACTTCTTCTTCTTCTCCTTATGACCAGAGCTTTGGTAGGATGGGTAAGGAAGAAGGATGGGTAAGGAAGAAGGATGGGTAAGGATAGAAATTTTGGAAAAGGGTGGGAGGGGGGAGAGAGGTACGATATAAAAGGTAAGTGGCCCAACCACTTTGGTGTAATTTAAAAAGTGTACGTGAAATGATAAGATATTCTTTAAGGGGTATAAGACTAACCCATCAGAGTCACATAGATATAACAGATATATAAGTACATGACTCTGAATTGGTAGTAATTATACAAGTTGCAATTGCCTTTTTTTTTTTTTGCGATTGCACAACATATATTTATGCGACAATGAAGGCAATAATTTTCTGGCCAGTTTATAGAATTACGTGACAATGGCTTCTTACAGGTGGTGTCCAGCCATAGTAAATAGCATAATTTTTACATTAGATTGTTATATAAGATTTCTCCCTAATTGGGGGCGATGATGTTCTCAGTATACATAGAAGGGTTCTGGTGTTACCCAATCTTCTTCATCAGGGAGGTTGATCAATATCATGGGTCGAGGGTAATCATCTTTATGTATAAAACGACGGACCCTACGAACATCAAAACGTATAAAGTGAATTACATAAGAAAAAAACATTGTTTTTTTTTTTACTTTACAATTGAATATTTGGAGTTTTTTTTTCAGAAGTGACTACAACATTGAAAACATCTACACGACCGCCTACAACCACACGTCCAGCATTCAGTACGACCAGAACACCAGCATTCAGTACGACCAGAACACCAGCATTCAGTACGACCAGAACACCAGCATTCAGTACGACCAGAACACCAGCATTCAATACGACCAGAACACCAGCATTCAATACGACCAGAACACCAGCATTCAGTACGACCAGAACACCAGCATTCAGTACGACCAGAACACCAGCATTCAATACGACCAGAACACCAACATTCAATACGACCAGAACACCAGCATTCAGTACGACCAGAACACCAGCTTTCAGTACGACCAGAACACCAGCATTCAGTACGACCAGAACACCAGCATTCAGTACGACCAAATCGGTATTCATATCTTCCACCACAACCAATACGTCCAAAAGTGCATCATTTACAACGACTGCTGTTCCATTAAGTACGTCCACTGTCATAACATTAACTAGTAATACAACTACGAAGCCAGCAAATGTAACAATAATTACGTCATCTACAGCTTCAAGCATTACCTTTACAAACACAACTAATTCTTCCATATCCACAAGTACAATAATTACTATTAATAACGCAACTACATCCACTAATACGTCCGCTTTCACAACTACATCTATTAATACGTCTGCTGTCACGACTACATCAACTAATACAAGCACAGTTACATCTAACAGTACATCTACTAGCGGTACTACATCAACCAACACGTCTACAGCCACAGCTACATCTATCAGTAATACATCTAGTTCAATATCTTCTAGTACAATTACATCTATTAGTGCATTGTCTACTAACACAACGTCAGCTATTACAACTACACCTACAAGTTCAACTATATCTAGCACACCTACTAGCACTACTACTAGCATAACTACATCTACTAGTGCAACTACATCTACTAGTACATCAACCACTACATCTACATCAACGACCATAAGTACACCTTCTACAACAGTCACATCTACTAGCACTACTTCTAGCACAACTACCTCTACTAGCACTACTACTAGCACAACTACCTCTACTAGCACAACTACATCTAGCACTGCTACTACTACTAGCTCAACTACATCTACTAGCACTACTACTTCTAGCACATCTACTAGCACCACTACATCTACTAGCACTAATACTTCTAGCACATCTACTAGCGCCACTACATCTACTAGCACTACTACTTCTAGCACATCTACTAGCACCACTACTTCTAGCACATCTACTAGCACTATTACTTCTAGCACATCTACTAGCACCACTACTTCTAGCACATCTACTAGCACTACTACTTCTAGCACATCTACTAGCACCACTACTTCTAGCACATCTACTAGCACTACTACTTCTAGCACATCTACTAGCACCACTACATCTAGTAGCACTACTACTTCTAGCACATCTACTAGCACCACTACTTCTAACACATCTACTAGCACTACCACTTCTAGCACATCTACTAGCACTACTACTTCTAGCACATCTACTAGCACCACTACATCTACTAGCACTACTACTTCTAGCACATCTACTAGCACCACTACTTCTAGCACATCTACTAGCACTACTACTTCTAGCACATCTACTAGCACCACTACATCTACTAGCACTACTACTTCTAGCACATCTACTAGCACCACTACTTCTAGCACATCTACTAGCACTACTACTTCTAGCACATCTAAAAACAACAGACAAAGCCCCACTCCACAAAGGGGGCAGGAAAGCAACAGCAAAGAACTACAGACCGATAGCACTAACATCCCATATCATAAAAATCTTTGAAAGGGTCCTAAGAAGCAAGATCACCACCCATCTAGAAACCCATCAGTTACACAACCCAGGGCAACATGGGTTTAGAACAGGTCGCTCCTGTCTGTCTCAACTACTGGATCACTACGACAAGGTCCTAAATGCACTAGAAGACAAAAAGAATGCAGATGTAATATATACAGACTTTGCAAAAGCCTTCGACAAGTGTGACCATGGCGTAATAGCGCACAAAATGCGCGCTAAAGGAATAACAGGAAAAGTCGGTCGATGGATCTATAATTTCCTCACTAACAGAACACAGAGAGTAGTCGTCAACAGAGTAAAGTCCGAGGCAGCTACGGTGAAAAGCTCTGTTCCACAAGGCACAGTACTAGCTCCCATCTTGTTCCTCATCCTCATATCCGACATAGACAGGATGTCAGCCACAGCACCGTGTCTTCCTTTGCAGATGACACCCGAATCTGCATGACAGTGTCTTCCATTGCAGACACTGCAAGGCTCCAGGCGGACATCAACCAAATCTTTCAGTGGGCTGCAGAAAACAATATGAAGTTCAACGATGAGAAATTTCAATTACTTAGATATGGTAAACATGAGGAAATTAAATCTTCATCAGAGTACAAAACAAATTCTGGCCACGAAATAGAGCGAAACACCAACGTCAAAGACCTGGGAGTGATTATGTCGGAGGATCTCACCTTCAAGGACCATAACATTGTATCAATCGCATCTGCTAGAAAAATGACAGGATGGATAATGAGAACCTTCAAGACTAGGGAGGCCAAGCCCATGATGACACTCTTCAGGTCACTTGTTCTATCTAGGCTGGAATATTGCTGCACTCTAACAGCACCTTTCAAGGCAGGTGAAATTGCCGACCTAGAAAATGTACAGAGAACTTTCACGGCGCGCATAACGGAGATAAAACACCTCAATTACTGGGAGCGCTTGAGGTTTCTAAACCTGTATTCCCTGGAACGCAGGAGGGAGAGATACATGATTATATACACCTGGAAAATCCTAGAGGGACTAGTACCGAACTTGCACACGAAAATCACTCACTACGAAAGCAAAAGACTTGGCAGACGATGCACCATCCCCCTAATGAAAAGCAGGGGTGTCACTAGCACGTTAAGAGACCATACAATAAGTGTCAGGGGCCCGAGACTGTTCAACTGCCTCCCAGCACACATAAGGGGGATTACCAACAGACCCCTGGCAGTCTTCAAGCTGGCACTGGACAAGCACCTAAAGTCAGTTCCTGATCAGCCGGGCTGTGGCTCGTACGTTGGTTTGCGTGCAGCCAGCAGCAACAGCCTGGTTGATCAGGCGCTGATCCACCAGGAGGCCTGGTCACAGACCGGGCCGCGGGGGCGTTGACCCCCGAAACTCTCTCCAGGTAAACTCCAGGTAAGCACCACTACATCTACTAGCACTACTACTTCTAGCACATCTACTAGCACCACTACTTCTAGCACATCTACTAGCACTACTACTTCTAGCACAACTACTAGCACCACTACACCTTTAATTTTTAGTTAGTTTAATATGTTTATTATGCACCCCATACCAATCCTGTGGGCGGTAGTCAAAAGATTACAGAGGTACATAATGGGTCCAGGGACTGGGCCTCAAAGTTTTGATAGCTGAGCAAGTTACAGCTTTAGGCTGAGGGAATGATCACCTCGGTATTACTTCTTCTGTCTCCACTGTTAAATTCGACTGAAGGAGCCTTCTGCACAAACGAAACTTTTCAACACTACTCATACTCAAGTACGGCACGAGTCTTATTCATCAACTGAGAATATTACACAAATTCAAATGTTTATGTCAGTAGAGAAATTGTCAACTTAATTGTTACTCTTAGCTGGGAGAATGTCGTTTGTCACCACAATATTCATAACCATAACGTAACAACATTCATGTCGACTGTGTCTACAACTATAGCTGTCTGCCGTAACTTATCAAAATTCAACTGGTCAACTGGCAAATCAGTGACATTGTACTTCCTGGGGCAAATGAGTGACATCACACTTCCTGGCAAATGAGTGAAAAATCACACTTCCTGGCAAATGAGTGACATCACACTTCCTAGCAAATGAGTGACATCAAAACTTCCTGGCAAATGAGTGACATCACACTTCCTGGCAAATGATGACATCACACTTCCTGGCAAATGAGGACATCACACTTCCTGGCAAATGAGTGACATCACACTTCCTAGCAAAGAGTGACATCTACATATATCTTTTGGGTCTCTGGCAAGAACAAGACCATATATGCTATATTGGTCCCTGACCTAAGTAGATAATTTACCCACTCAATAATCCATAAATAAATGCCAGCTGATAGAATGACATCTATAAGATTTATATCAACAAAGTATATACAGTGTTAATTTTGAAAGGTTGGGTTTGATTAGTACCTGACGTATTGAAGTAAATTCTTAAGTAGCTTTGGGAAAAAGTTAGACAAATAGGTGGGTAGGAATAGTTGGTTTTGAGCAAAAACTTACCTAGTATGGGCCGTAGGACTGCTGCAGTATTTCCCCCATTCTTATGTCCATATTTTGTGTGTGTAACTTGATCAAATTTGTATATCTTTAACTTTTATTTTAATAAATGCACCACAGCATCACATAATCAGTCTTTTCAACTGAACCTGTTTACACTGTACCTACAATATAATAATGTTCTGATAATAGAAGAACATTTAAGACTCGCATCTTAATGGCATTATTCTATCCTGCCACTTGTTTCAAAATCATTTATTAATTAGGTTATCAGTATTGTTACTTAAGGAAAGCACTAAACTCGTAGGGGGTCATACAACGCCTGGGGCCAGTGGGCCTGCTGCAGTGTTCCTTTTTTTCTTTTGTTCTTAAGTCTTCAACCAAATATGTGAAGATCTAAATGAATTAACAAGTTATTTTGTCAGAAGATGTCAAAGTTCTTCCCAGAACATCGTATCAAGACAATATTAACTATTTATTTGGTATTTTCATCTATTTCTTATATATCGCAAGATTCAAAAAGTTATGAAGGTTTAGAAGCAACATTCATTGTTGATGATGGTTTAGAACCAATAGTCAGGATGATCAGTAATAAATTCCTGGTCATGGCAATGTAAATGTTTGTGCTTTTATTTAAGTCAATATCGCTACTTAAAAAAATATATTTAAAAAAATATATTAATCAAGCTATCATATGTATATATTTAGGCAACTTTTATTATTATTATTATTATTAAAGATTCGCCGGTATTCTCCCGGCCCGGGCCTTTTCCAAGTGGTGGCCCGGCCTTGGCTCCCTCTTTAGGGAGTGTCTGAGACCTAAGTCTCCCATGGGAGGAGGTACAAGTACCTCCTCATCTCTGGGACCAACTGTCCCCAGGCCTAGCCACAAGCTAGGCCTCTCTGGTCTGCCATCCCCGCCACAAGGGGGCTAAATGGGAATGACAGTCTTATGAGCTACAAGCTCGGGCACAGGCACCTGCCCTAGAAGGGCTGGGCATGGTGTTGATGAGGCAACTTTAGTTAAAGTGTAAAGTGTTTTAATGAATTCTGTATAAAAATTAATGTTTCACGATTTTGATGGTAAATCAAAAAGTAATGGAGGTTTAATATAAACTTCATAATAATTATTTTTTTTTGTATTTAAGAAATTGGAATAATAATTTTAATGTTACAACTTTCGAATCTTTCTTCAGATTGACTAATTCTTTATTTCTGATATTTAACAGCATTATAAACTCCAGCCTCACCCTATACTATTCCTTATGTATGCTTTAAATTAGAAGAGGCTGGGCATATAGAATCCAGGGATAACTTTCTTAGATCATTTCAGGTACGGGGGGGGGGCTAGGTTTGTGATGTGCCTTTCTTAGATTATGAAGGTACATGGGTTTATAATGTACTTTTTTAGATCCTGTAGGTACATGGGTTTATAATGTACTTTTTTAGATCCTGTAGGTACATGGGTTTATAATGTACTTTTTTAGATCCTGTAGGTACATGGGTTTCATAATGTAACTTTTTAGATCCTGTAGGTACATGGGTTTATAATGTACTTTTTTAGATCCTGTAGGTACATGGGTTTATAATGTACTTTTTTTAGACCATGTAGGTACATGGGTTTATGATATGCCTTTCTTAGATGGCGCAGTGAACGAAAAAAAGCCACACCAGAAAGGATCATATAACGAATGCGAGGCATTAATAAGTTTAATTAGGTACATGTTTACACAATTACTATTATAAGGTCAAAATATGGATGTTTTGTACGGTGAGTAGGTTTAGAGTTTTGAATATTGGTGGAGTGTGCTGCCTGGAGTGGGAATTTGTTATCATTCTGTCTACAGCCTTTTGTTGGGTAATTAATGGTCTGAGATGATTTATTGTTGTTGAGCCCCATGCACAAATTCCATAGGTGAGATAGGGGTAAATGAGTGAGTGATATAGGGCCAGGAGAGCTTGGAGATTTTCTTGGAAATTTGTTGTACATGTGTTTGAAATTTGAGTCTATTATCAAGGTGGATTCCTAAGAATTTTCCCTCTGTGAGCTTTGTGATAGGTGATCCATTTATCATTATGTTAAAAGGAACATCTGTAGTTCTGTTCCCAAACTGAATGAAGTAGGTTTTGTCAATATCGAGAGTAAATTTGTTAATCATCATCCAGGTAGATATTTTCTATAATTCGGTATTTACAGTATTGGCTAGCATGACTGGGCTTGGGTGAGAGTAGACGTATGTAGTGTCATCTGCAAATAGTGTGGGTTTGAGTAGTTGAGATGCATTTGGCAGGTCGTTTATGTAAATGAGAAAGAGAAGAGGGCCTAGGACACTTCCCTGTGGGACTCCAACTGTAATTGGCTGTGTGGAAGAGTTTGCTCCATTTGTGTACATATATTGGCTTCTGTTGCTGAGGTATGACTTTAGGTAGCTGAGGGAGTGCCCTTTTATACCATAGTGTGATAATTTTATGTGCAGCAAATCATGGTCAACTGTATCAAAATTATTATTATTATAATCAAAACGAAGCGCTAAACCACAAGGGTTATACAGCAACGGTATCAAAAGCTTTACATAAATCAATGAAGATCCCCAATGGGATTTCTTTTTTCTCGAGTGCAGTGTATATTTGTTCTAGCATGTGTATAATAACATCATTCGTATTTTTATTAGGCCTGAACCCAAACTAACAAGGGTTGAGTATGTTGTGGGAGATGAGGTAGGAATAGATTCGCTTATGAATTAGTTTTTCAAAGATTTTAGAGAGA